GATTGCTGGTATTCAGCGGGATATAGTAATTTCCTCAGCATATGGATAAATGCAACGGGGAAGTTAACTGAAAGAAACCGAATCTGTGGATATTGCATCGACCGACGTCTCTGTGGAGAGGACCCGCTCAGAAAAGAGAGATATTCTCTACAAACACCGGGTGAGATCCTCCTTTGTCAATATAATGGATCAATGCATGAAATCTGACTCTGTTTATTTTGTTTAAGGAGTATATTGGGCGTTAACTATTCTGGTTTGCCTTTTATAATATTATGTCATTCAAGAACCCCTTGGTTTAATTAACACAGCTATTTTTGATAGTTGCTACAGCAATGAGCAGGAGAGGTGCTATTTTTTCAGGAAATATTCGTATCGAGGTGATTACACGGACTCGGTTGACCCCCCAGAGCGTTTCGTTTGCAAATCTATCCACCTTGGGACCCGTTATCGTTTGTGGGGTCAGTTTCTATCGGCCTCGTGTAAATAATAGGGCTATACGCACGCGAAACTATGCAGATACAAGCAGTTTTCTCCTCGTGTAAACGGCGCCGTAGTCTCAGTGATGTAGATGATGTAGATGTAGTCTCAGTGATGTAGATGATGTAGATGTAGTCTCAGTGATGTAGATGATGTAGATGAATAATGTTCAAGATGCAAACAGATGAATGTTATGGAAGTTTTTTTTTAAAGTTCAGGTGTTTAACAGTCTTATGGCCTGTGGGATGAAACTGTAATGTACACAATATCTTGTTTTTTATTACTACACATATTTTTATTACAATTCTATTTCACTACACTTTTGTATGTTATTATAGTTTTCTTAACCTGTTAAGCTCTGAGCCTGTTTTTCAGGTCTCAGGCTCGAAAATGACATTCCCAGAACAAATGACCATATCTTCCCTTCTAAAAGGGTTAAATTAATAATCTTTATTCTCAAAGTAATGATAAACCTGTGAGTTGGATGTAGAAAAGTCAGAATCAATATAGATGTTTTTTATTTTAAAGAAAATTCAGATTTTACATCGTAAAAAACTGTAAATTATAGTGTCCGTCCAAAAATTATTTTTTACTTATAGTGAAAACTACCCTTGGATGATGGGTTAGTAGACTAAAAGCTTTAGGAATCCAAAGTACAACATATAATAAGTACCCTGTATCAAGATTGATGCAAAACAAGTGACATTTGACCTTTTTAGAGAGGTTTAGCAAAAAGAAACCACTTCTGGGGTCATTTGGGTGCATTTTCCATATCTCTGGCCCCCCTTGCTCGATTTTGATGGTTGACACCTCTTTCTGACCGTTAGAGACAATAGAATCGAAGGGGGAGGCCCCCACACACACACGTTGTGAAGAGAAGAGGTGGGGGCTTCGCGCATGTAATTTTCAATCAGAGTGAACCTATCTCTTGCTTTGACATCTGGAAACGGAAAAGCAGTTTTAATGCTTATGGATTATCAGAAATCATTTCAAAGGGACACAGACACATTAGATTAACCTATGGATTAACTTCAGCAGCGTTTTTATCGTTTTAATGCCATTGAAGACCACTTTGGAGAGACTACAGAGCCAAGAGCCGCGTTCACACCAAGTACTTTCCTGTACTTAGTTCCGGCACTAAGAGCCCTGGCGCTTTTAACCCCAGGGTACTTAGTACAGATCGCGTTCACACCGGAGTACTTTTCCCTGAGGGAAGATTACAAGTACAGTAGGTGGCGGTAAGCACCTTAAAGTTGTTTGCAACCCGCTACAAAACAAGAGAAGAAGAAAAACTGATACAGGATCTGTTTAATCGCCATGTCGGTTTTCTTTATTGCACTCTCAAGACATAACATTAAATAGAAATATTTTAAATGTAACTAAAGTGTCAGTTGTACATGTCAGTAAACATTGTCAATATAAAATAAAGTGTCAGTTGTACTATATAATAACAGTAATAACAATATAAAATAAACTCCCAGGTGTAGGGAGTCTCAGCAGCAAACCCACCTTTATTATATATCTTCCTGAGACCCACTGCATCCGTCTGCCATAAACACTATGCAAACATACATGTTAGTTTTGGCCCATAGTGGACTCCATGTTGTGTTGTGTGAAATGGGGGGGAATTAAAAGTTTAGGTCAAATAATATTTAAAATGATATAAATTATCATATTTGTGTATGTGCCCCTGCCATTCCCCCACAAGGTTGCAACATTGATGATAAATAAATGACAAATAAAGCTTTGCCAGTTTATAACCGATGAAACATGATGGTATCAGAACAATCACTTACATGTGATGTATAGGATGCTACACAGGTCACAAAAGATAAAGTGTCAGGAGAAATAAGCTTAATCGCCATGTCGGTTTTCTTTATTGCACTCTCAAGACATAACATTAAATAGAACAATTTTAAATGTAAATAAAGTGTCAGTTGTACATGTCAGTAAACATTATATATAAAATAAAGTCATAACAGTCATAACAATATAAAATAAACTGTCCCAGGTGTAGGGATAGTCTCAGCAGCATGCACACCTTAGTGCAACGTTGTGTGTCGTGTGTCAGTATTTACAAAAACTATACCAAATAAACTGTTATTAAATGCAGTTTGTCGCTCATCCTGCCGCTGCGCCGACGCTTCCTCATGGCGCAGCGCCCACACTTCATCCTGGTGCTGCTGGCGCTCCATCTGCTGCTTGAACACTTCTGCCTGGCGCTCCATCGAGGTGAGCATCTTGTCCTCCGTTTCCTGGGCCTTGATGAACAGCACCATCTGATCTCCACGCAGCGACTCATTCACCACGGCACGCCGGTCCTCCAACGCCTGGGCGGTGTCAAAGAAATTTGCATCCCGTGTCCGCTTTCCTAAGAGGGGAAAATAAGCAAGATACAAGATCTTAGTCGCCATGTAGTTTTACAACATACTAGGAATGTGTTTTTTGTATTTTCACAAATAGAATTAAGGTTTCACAAATCTGAAACTGTGTTATAAAGAATGTTTAGACCCTCTGGGATAATCCAGTCCAAATAAATCGGCTATGCAGCGATTTAAGAGGTTCAAACACGGAGGATTGTTCCTTTTTGAAGAGTGCTTCATGTATGCTTGAACTTTGTTTAATGTTGTTGAGGCAAGTTAAACATAAAATATGATGAATATTATGAAATAAACATGATTGTGAACATCAGTTCGATGCGTAACGTTCTTTCAAGACAAAGTTACAGTGTGTGTACTGTGTGCTCGGGGCCGGTGTTAGCCTATTATGGCTAGCATGGCTAGCTTGATCTACTGAGCAAATAAAAGTACATCTGAGACCATTATTGTGCAGATTAAAACCCCAGTGCATGTAGTTGATTTTACCTTCGTCGTGGTCGTCATCGTTGGCCACTGAATCCGCCGTTTGTAGTCCTGCCTGAGTTTCTTTATTTTTAGCCGGTGTGCCGTGGGGCTGTGCACATTCCCAGGTCGAGTGAAAGCTACCGAACTGGCTTCAGTGCATTCCCTGGGTCGCGTCCTCTGCGTAGATCTCCAGAAGCGCCGACACCTCCTCATCATTTCTTGATGCTTGCCATAACTGCTTTCAAAAACAAACACAACGCACGGAGCGTTGTGTTTTTGTAGCGAGGAAAAACAATGGCGGCTCTACACAACATTTTCAGAGTTGTACGGGCGTGGTTTGCAATTCGCCCAGCCAATCAGCACTGGGGCACTTTTGGAGAACTTTTCACCCACAGAAAAGTACGCTCTCTGAGTTGGCTCTAAAAATGGGGGTAAAAGTACCCGAGATTAAGTACGATTTTTGGTGTGAACGCGACTCACGGAACTAAAACGCGAAAAGTACGGTGAAAGTACTCCGGTGTGAACGCGGCTAAGGTAACCATGTTAGCATTTTTAGCTACCTAGCGTCACCTGTTTTGATGTCCGTTTTTGTTTATAAAGTCGCGATTTCGTATAAATCAGTGATAATGACCCATCGATTCTGTGTCACCTCACGATGTGAAACGATGTGTTGGATGTGGAGAAAAGATAAATAATAAGGTTTGATTTTCGGTGCAGTAATCTGTTAGCATTTTTCGCTCGTTGCTAATTCAGAGGCTCAGTGTTAGCATTGTGGGTTTTCTTTTGAAAAAAAAATAAAAAGGATCAGTTAGATGAGTTTCTTCCCGTTACATGGATATAAAACATTCATAGTTTATTAAATGAACATGCCCTCAGACACTGTTTCCTGCAAGATGTTGCGGCAGTGCCCCGGTCCGGGGTCTCTCGGGCTTAACAGGTTAACAGAGTTTTCTATCTGTTTTTTTAATTTTTGTTTTACTTTTATGTATGATTCAAGATTCAAAGATTCAAGATTCAAAGATTCAAAGGTGTTCTCATCAGATGCTCAGCAGCTACAGTGGAGAAATGGCAATGAAATTCTTCTGACCTGAGCTCCTCCAACGATGCAACATATATAATAAAATACTAAAATACAAAATACAAAATAAAAAGTAGTGCAAAAAGTCTATATACATGTAAATAGAATATGATAAGTCTGCACCACGACATCAAGTCAAATTCCTCGTACGTGTCAACCTACCTCGTGATAAACATGTTTCTGATTTCGATTCAGATTTCTGATACTGATTTCTGATACTGATTTCTGATTTTGATTCTGATTCTGAACTGTCCCCGAGTCTGGTGGTTTTAGTCCTGATGCTACGCTAACAACATGCTAACAACATGCTAACAACATGTACCTGCTCCTCTGTGAAGAAGACTCCTCTCTGCATGCTGATCCTCTTCATCAGATCTCCTCCGTCACAGAACTCCATCACAATGAACAGGCTGCCACGCTCTGTAATCAGATTACAACTGTAGTCAGCCACCATTACATATTAAAACATATGCATCACATGTAATGTAGATTATAGTTACTCTGTTCAGCATAGCTCGATTATATCGTTGTTGTTGTTGTTGTTATGTCTCGGAGATATTTGAAATTATGAAAACCAGATGTGTGATAAACATGTTTTTTTAAAGAATCAAAGTGAATTATCTGCCTGCTTTCTTAATGAAGATGATGGAGTTTGAATCATCTTCATCACATAGATACACACAGTAACTGTTTGCCAGCATCTTTGTTGTAAGGCTCATCTGATTTGACTTGATGCATTTTATTATTATTGTTATTATTATTATTATATATAATTATCTGTCACTTGTATCTCACTTCTCACCCTGGAAGGAGCTGAAGAAGGACACGATGTTCGGGTGTCTCATCTTCGACAGCAGCGTCACTTCTTTGGCCGACGCTTCCTTTTCCCTCGCTGACATCTGAGCAGCAAACACACCATCACTCTAAATCCCTACACGTGCACATGACCCTGAACCTAACACATCTGGAAAACAGCAGCTGGTTTAATTCACAAGATAAGATAAGATAAGATAAGAAGTACTTAATTGATCCAAATTTGGGAAATGTTTGTGTTGCAGCAGCATAAAAAACAAGTTGGGGAAGGCTTCAGTAGAAGCTGCTGGGAGTCCCAGCAGCTTCTACTGAAGCCTTCAGAGGAAATCGCCAGAACGCCGACACCTCATCTCCACCGCTCCCATGTTTTCTTTTGTGTTGCCATAAGTTAGTCTCTCTGCGTTTCTGCGCTGGGCGAATGCTAATGCTAATAATGCTAATGCGAGGATAATAAAATGGCGGCTTCACAAAACTTTTTGGGAGTTTTACGGGGCGTGGTTTGCAATCCGCCCAGCCAATCAGACATAGGAACCTTTTTCTCCCACGAAAGTCCCTGCTCTCTAGCAGGGACGAACAAGGGGGTAAAAAAGGTTCTGATGAACTGATTTTAGTTCCGGCTCTTTTTGGTGTGAACGCGACATTTCGGAACTAAAGTGGGGAAAGTACTGCGGTGTGAACGCGGCTTATAGTGTACTGTGGTTTTAAATTCACATGTAAAAGCCCCATGAAGAGAGAATGAGCTTCAAACTCACATCATCTCTATGAGTTCAAATGAAATCAGTTCTAATTAAAATTACAGTTTAGTTTCTTTGCAGCAATCCCTGAAGTAGGAACGCACATTTCTGAACGTATTTTTATTTTCTATATTATGTTATTTATCACCAGGTAGGTTCACACGTACGAGGAATTTAACTTGGAGTCGTGGTGCGTACATAAAAATAAAACAAAAGTTAAAAACACAGATAGAAAACTATGAGGTTTAAATATTGTACGCCTTCAAGTGAAGTTGTATGGCTTGTCAATTGATGTACAATAGTAGAGACTAGGCTGAACAGTCAGACTATATAACCACCACGGCCCCTATAGACCCCCACACACACAACAACACAGAGTAACAACAACTTATAACACTGCTTGTTGTTAACCACCACCTATGTGCAATATGTGCAATATATATATACATGCTGTTAATAACTGTGTAATACTTGGCTGCTAAATCCTCAGAGCTGTTACAGGATGTGTATTTTGTAAATTGTGTAACTTTTTTAATCTTTAATATTTGTATTTCTTTGATGCATGCTTCTTAGTTAACATTAAGCTGTCTTTGGCTCTTTTCTGCTGTAACAAATGTACATGTCCCCTCTGTGGGACGCGTAAATGTCATGGTTTTGGATTTGTGTTTTCATTTTCCACCTTTTGTTTTGAAATGTTTTCCTCCTTGTGTCTGATCCTTCTTCCTGTGTTTGCCTTCCTGTCTTTAGTTTCCCTCCTGTGTCTGATTGAGTTCACCTGTTGCCCTTGTGTTTCTGCCTCCCCTGCCCAGCTGTGTCTTGTCCTGTGATTACCCTGCTGTGTATTTACTCTTGTCTTCCCCTGTGCTCCATGTCTGTTCGTCGTCTCTTCATGTCTGATACCTGCTTGTCTCTTCATGTCCATCTTCCCTGCGTCTCTTCATGTCTATGATACCTGCTTGTCTCTTCATGTCCATCTTCCCTGCGTCTCTTCATGTCTATGATACCTGCTTGTCTCTTCATGTCCATCTTCCCTGCGTCTCTTCATGTCTATGATACCTGCTTGTCTCTTCATGTCCATCTTCCCTGCGTCTCTTCATGTCTATGATACCTGCCTGTCTCTTCATGTCCATGTTCCCTGCCTCGTCTATGCTAGTCCATGCTACCTGTCCGTTTTTGATGTCACGCTCCAAGGTTCAAGGTTCAAGGTTCTTTATTGTCAAACTAACATAGCTACATAGTAATTATGTTGTTGAAAATCTTAGGTCACAGGCTTCTCCAACAATGCAACACAATAATACAGATAAGCAGACAATATTAAAACAATATTAAAATATACTATATTAAAAGTAATGCAAAAAGAAAAATAGTTTTTTAAAAAGTGAGAAAAAAAAGTGGAATAGTGCAGTACGAGTCTATATACAAGTTATTGGAATGATATATTAGATAATAGATAAATAATTACTAAGTAGCAGATGAATGTTATGAAATTGTTTCAGCAGTTCAGTTGTTTAACAGTCTTATTTCCTGTGGGATGAAGCTGTCTCTGAATCTGGTGGTTTTAGTCCGGATGCTGCGGTAACGCCTGCCAGACGGCAGCAGACTGAACAGTTTGTGGCTGGGGTGATGGGGGGGTCTATAATCCTGAGGGATTTCTTCCTGAGCCGCTGGGAGTAAATGTCCATGTTTGTCCCTGAAGTTTTTTGTCCTGATCTCCTCGTGCTCCCTGGTTTTGATAATGTTAAGTTAATCCTTGTTTTGTTTTGTCATCGGCTTTTGGAAATAAAGCTCGCTTTTTCTTACCAAACCTTTTTTTGTATTTTGAACTGCACTTGGGTCCTATTTTCCCCAACCTGACAATAAAGGTATTCTGATTCTGAACACTGGTAGCTTTGAACTGTTGAACATTTCTAACTGTGGTTCCTATCAATGTACCAAATGTCTTTTCTATGTGTCTTCAATACAAATATTTAAAATAAAACTATGAGGTATGCATTATTACCTTAGTGAGGTTGATCTGTTTGACCACACACCGTCTGTCTCCACCCGCCCCACGCTCTGCCACCAGGAAGGCTTTCCCAAACGCACCCTCTCCAATCAGACGCACCACCTCGTAGTTCTCCATCTCACCTGAGCACCTGCAGGGCAGGGGGCAGGGACCTTTAAGAAAACTCAAAGTGGTTTATTATTCAGGATGTATCAATGAAATGCTAATTATATTCCCTTTTCCACCCAGCACATAGAAACCGCCGGATGCTCACCTGCCATTTGCAGTTAGTATAAGTTGTGTTAATTAGCGTTAATGGTATTATCTTCTCTCTGTGTCTCTGCACCACATACACCAAGGATAACTCGTCTGTGTAAACCTGGTAATAAAACCCATTCTGATTATAGCTGGATATTAAAAATGGACAGTTTTGGAGTGTTTTTGGGAGTTATTGAGGAATTAAAATGTTCTATAAAAACCAGAACACTGCAGCGACAGAAATATAGATTCATACTACAGGAGCAGAAACATATATATATAGTTATAGGTTGTGTATGTTACTGTGTTGTGTTATTGTTAATGATAATGTATATATCACTTGTGTTTGTTAATCTCTATTTCTGTAAGATGTAAACTGTTTATTGTATTTGATCTATACTGTATACTGAATTTGCTCAATGTTACCAACCGGAAATACGTGTGTCTTACATGTTTGTGACTGACTGTTATATACAAATAAATACAAAATAAAATGTCCCACATTTTATGAATTATTAAAAAAGACAAAACTCTGTTGTTAAAGATTGTTTTGTACTTTATATTTATGTAAGATGTTAAACTATTTATTTTGTCTATACTGTATTAATGTTACTGACGGAAAAGAAGGGCCTTAAATGTTGTAAATTATTAATTATGAATACAATTTTTTTTTTAAATAAATAAATTGAGCCCGTTGCCATGGACACAGATACCGTTACTATGTTAAAGAACCGTAAAACCTGGTTTCTTTCTCCCGTTGCCATGGACACAGATACCGTTACAATGTAAACGAACCGTTAGTAAAACTTTAACGGTTTCTTTCTCCCGTTGCCATGGAGACAGATACACAGACAGCTAGCTCCCACGTTAGCATGCTAACATAAGTCGACTGTGGACAGGTTTAAAAGCGGTGTCAACGTGTCTGTCCCAGGTCTGTCCCATGGATGGTCTGTCCCCGCGAGACGTGTCCAGCCTTACCGTGTCGGTGTGTCCGTGTCGGGAGTCACGTGATCACATGACGAGCGGCGACAACGAGCTTTAACGGTTTTAACCGGAGAGACGTTAACGTGGCTGAAGTGAGGAGTAAAAAAAAAGGGAAGCGCAAGGTATGCTGGGAGGTGTAGTCTCAGCAGGTTTCAGTGTCAGAACCAGGATTCCTTTCACAGTGTAGTAAAAAGTGGCATAGCAAGTACAAAAAAAGGCTTGCATTAATAAAGAACCTAACTTATTAAATAAAAAGAAGAAAGCACACATTAGTAATAATATAATAAAGTAAGTAAAACTTTATTGATATAGCACCCTTCTCAACACGAATGTACAAAGTGCTTTACAGTATAGCCTACAGCACACAATACACAATTCAAAAAACAGCTATAAAATGTAGAATAAAAGGCATAAAACACAGCAGGTAAAACATAGGATAAAACACCAATGAAAAACAGCTACTAACTCACCTCCTCCAGCGACCCAAAGGCCTGTCGGAAAAGGTGAGTCTTTAGCTGCCCCTTAAAAATCTCCACTGAGACAGAGGGTCTCAGTTTCTGGGGGAGTTTATTCCAAAGCCTTGGGGCCACCACCTCAAAGGCACGGTCCCCCTTAGTTTTTAACCTGGTTCGGGGCACCCTTAGGAGGCCTTGCTCAGAGGACCTCAGGGCCCGGGTTGTGCTGTGAGGTAAGGTCGTTAATGTAGGCTGCGGCTTGGCCATGGACAGCTCTATATGTGAAGACCATACCTTACATTGGGTTCTGAGATGGACAGGGAGCCAGTGCAGGGAGCCAGGACAGGGCGGAAAGAATCGGGGTGATGTGGCATGGACCGAGTGAGCAATCTGGCTGCAGCATGTTGGACCTGTTGTAGCCGGTTTATTGATGTTTGGTTGAGGCAGGAGAACAGAGCATTACAGTAATCAAGCCGTCTTGTATAAATTACAAGACAAATAAGTACACATCCATGGCTGACAATGAGTAGTTTGTTCTTAGCGTTGAGATGAGATTGACCTTTATTGATTGTGAAATTCAGTTGTCATAGCAGCAACAGAAAGAGACACACGGGAATATACACAGGGGTTACAATAATTACAGAAATGTAGTAGCAGTATGAACAGAAATAACACAAACGACATGAGGTCAACTCTGTTCAGGTGAATGTACAGTTTGAAATCATGTGAACAACATCTTGTTATTTTCCCTTCTTAATACACAGCCCTGCACTTTCAAATATAAAACACTGCAGTTTGCCGTATATCGTCATATATTCATTCTCCTAAGTGTTGTTTTTAGATTTGAAGGTTCTTTGTATATTTAAATTTGGTGTAAATACTTCAATATTATTTATTCATTCAAAATAGTTTCTTAAAAAGAAATTCTTAGCCTAGGTTTTAAAAAAGACTGGAAACAGAGTAAAACTGTTAGCCTAGCTTAGCATAAAGTGTTGAACCAGGTGAAAACTGTTAGTTTAGCTTAAAGTAAAGAGTTGGAACAGGTGGAAACTGTTAGCCTAGCTTAGCATAACGTGTTGAAACAGGTGGAAACTGTTAGCCTAGCTTAGCATAAAGACTGGAAACGGATGGAAACAGCTAGCTTGGTCTGAAACCTCTGGAGAAAGAAAGGGATAGTTTCTTAAAAATATTTCTTTTTATTATCTTTAGATATTTTTTCTTATATCTTATTGTTTAGATTGTTTATGTTTGCACCACCATATGTATATATATTATTTATCTTATGTCTTTAAGGGTTTTAACTTGTATAATTGATTTAACACTTTTAATAGCAACATTTATTTTTACGTTGCTCTTTTAATATTTTAACCTTTATTTGAATTATGACCCTTTTACTTCTATTATCTTTATATTTGTATGTTGTTGTACCTATGTGTTCACTTTGTGTTATGGGGTGTTATATTGTTGCATCGTCGTTATCTTTCAGAGGAATCATTATTTATCTGATTGTATTGTATTGTATTTAATCTGTTAATATGTGGTAGCCCCGCTGCATTAAGCTCTGAACATCTGATCTGAGGGGAACTTCTTGTTTATTTTAAACTTGTGATGTGTCGCCATTCTATAAAGCACTATATCTGGAGTTAACATCAGAGTGACACAGCTCATTATCAGTGAACAAAAACATCTTAAAATGAAAGTGTAGTTGAATTAAGACGTATGAAAACACAAACCCTCTGAAGCGTGAAGGTGACTCCACACCTGCCTCATCTCCCATGATCCTCTCTGTTCATCAGCAGGAACCAGTTTACACCGGATCAGGTGACATGGGGGGAGGGGGGGGGGGTATAGTGTTACTTATACACAACACGGTGTACTATTACACAAGACAACAGTAATATCCTTAATGATGACAAACAGCTGATCCAACTATACTTGTACACACTAAACTGAACTGCGTGCTGTGTACAAATAACCCTTAATATTGCATACTGATACACACTAAACCTGTGTACAAATACCCCAAAAACGGCATACTAAAACTGCGTACAAATGTACAAATACCCGAAAGACTGCATACTAATACACTCTAAACCTTTGTTTAAATACCCCAAAAACCGAACTCATATATACAATAAACCTTTGTACCAAATACCCAAAAAGCTGCATACTAAAGCACAGTAAACTTGTGTATAAATACACCAAAAACAGCATACTAAAACTGCGTATAAATACCCGAAAAACTGCATACTAATAATAAGTACACATACCCCAAAAACTGCATAGTAATACACGCTAAACCTATGTACAAATACCCTATAAACTGCATACTAATACACGCTAAACCTATGTACAAATACCCTATAAACTGCATACTAATACACAATAAACTTGTGTATAAATACCAGAAAAACTGCATACTAAAAATAAGTACACATACCCCCAAAACTGCATACTAATACACGCTAAACCTGTGTACAAATACCCTATAAACTGCATACTAATACACGCTAAACCTGTGTACAAATACCCTATAAACTGCATACTAATACACAATAAACTTGTGTATAAATACCAGAAAAACTGCATACTAAAAATAAGTACACATACCCCCAAAACTGCATACTAATACACGCTAAACCTGTGTACAAATACCCCAAAAACTGCATACTAATACACGCTAAACCTGTGTACAAATACCCCAAAAACTGCATATTGACACTGAAATGAAAACAGACGACAGCACAAAGTTAGTTCTCCTGGTTTATTGTGTTGGTCTGTTCATATCTTTAAAGAGATTATATACACGATGAGTACAGAAGAGTTCTCCAGAACAAACGACACAAAGAGAAAGCGACCGTGAGAAAGACGTGGAAGCTCTGCTGTGATGTCTAAAGCTAGACAAGAGGAGCGCTCTCTGGTCTGAGGAGCAGCTGCAGAGTATTCATATCTCCAGAAGACAGGAAGCGTCTCCCTGCTGCAGAAACAACTTCATATCACACTACCCCATTTAAACACACGCTACAATCGCACTTTGATTACAATAATTTAGCTGGTTTTTTAGATTATTTTATGAAAAGATTCCCCGGAGATCCCGTACAGAAGAGTGGAAAAAAAACACACCTTTTTTTTTTATCACAATCAATGGATATTTAGCAAACAGCTTCACTGCTCTCTCTCTCACACACAAACTACCTGAAGTAAAGAAGGGGAAGTAGAAAGGGTTAAAAACACCACTCAGGCCTCGCAGATCAGCGTCTCCACGACAACGCGGCTCTCAAAGTGACGGATCTTGTGGCAGTTCAGAGCCTCGCGCTTCTGCATACCTGAGGAAATAAAACAGAACAGCGTGTTAGAGGGGTCAGGCTCGATCATCATGTGCTCAGCAGCTACAGGGTAGATATGGCACTGAACACCTGAAGTCCCAGGCTCCAGCGTGTTAGAGGGGTCAGGCTTCATCATCATGTGCTCAGCAGCTACAGGGTAGATATGGCACTGAACACCTGAAGTCCCGGGCTCCAGCGTGTTAGAGGGGTCAGGCTTCATCATCATGTGCTCAGCAGCTACAGGGTAGATATGGCACTGAACACCTGAAGTCCCGGGCTCCAGCGTGTTAGAGGGGTCAGGCTTCATCATCATGTGCTCAGCAGCTACAGGGTAGATATGGCACTGAACACCTGAAGTCCTAGGCTCCAGCGTGCTAGAGGGGTCAGGCTTCATCATCATGTGCTCAGCAGCTACAGGGTAGATATGGCACTGAACACCTGAAGTCCCAGGCTTCAGCGTGTTAGAGGGGTCAGGCTTCATCATCATGTGCTCAGCAGCTACAGGGTAGATATGGCACTGAACACCTGAAGTCCCGGGCTCCAGCGTGTTAGAGGGGTCAGGCTTCATCATCATGTGCTCAGCAGCTACAGGGTAGATATGGCACTGAACACCTGCAGTCCCAGGCTCCTCCAGCAGGGTTTTGTGGCAGATTGTTGCACCTCTCTCTTCATATATATCTATATATAAAGTTTTTACCAACTCTCATCTAGTAGCCCCTTCATCCCTGTGACCACCTGAACCTTTTAACCTGTTAAGCCCCGAGCCTGTTTTTCAGGTCTCAGGCTCGAAAATGACATTCCCAGAACAAATGACTATATCTACACTTCTAAAAGGGGGAAATTAATAATCTTTTTTCTCAAAGTAATGATAAACCTGTGAGTTGGATGTAGAAAAGTCAGAACAATATAGAATTTTTTTTTTAAAGTAAATTCAGATTGAACATAGTAACATTTTTTAAATGATAGTGTCCGTCCAAATAAACCATTACTTATAGTGAAAACCACCCTTGGATGATGGTAAGGTAGACTAAAAGCTTTAGGAATCCAAACTACAACATATAATAAGTACCCTGTATCAAGATTGATGCAAAACAAGTGACATTTGACCTTTTTAGAGAGATTTAGCACAAAAAAAACACTTCTGGGGTCATTTGGGTAGATTTGCCATATCTCTGGAACCCATTGGTCGATTTTGGTGATTGACACCTCTTTTGAACCGTTAGAGCCAATAGAATCAAGAGGGGAGTTCCTAAATCCATCTAAACATTACCATTGAGGAGTGAAAAACCGGAAGCTGGGTTGTAGCTATCATAGCAGCTAATATGAAATCTAAAATGAAGTTTCTCATCTCCATATCTCCACTGAAGCTGCTGAGCACATGATGAGAGACTTGAGACGTGAATACTATTTCCAAAACGTTTCCAGGGCCTGGAATTGGCAACCTGAGTCTTCCAGGTGTTTCCTGCCCCTGTTGGTATTGAGGATGAAGCTACCAGTTAGGAGTAGGTGTATACTATATATATATTTATATATATATGAAGAGAGAGGTGAAAAAAATCAGGCCTAAAACCCAGATATTACTCAGCATTTAATCACTTCTTGGTTCTCTTCAACAGTTTTCTGAGTAGGTTTCTGATTGTTATGATGACATAAGGTCTGTGGTTAACACAAGCCGAGGGGTTTTTATTCTACCGCATTAAATCTGTCCCACAACTGGTACTTTGTCCTCTCTATACGGCTAGCGAGCGCTATTATTGCTGAGCGGCGTGTGGTAGTCACACTAAACCTGCGTACAAATACCCAGAACACTGCATACTAAAGCACATTAAACTTGTGTATAAATACACCAAAAACAGCATAGTAATATACTCTAAACCTGTGTACAAATACCCCAAAAACAGCATAGTAATATACTCTAAACCTGTGTACAAATACCCCAAAAACTGCATAGTAATATACTCTAAACCTGTGTACAAATACCCCAAAAACAGCATAGTAATATACTCTAAACCTGTGTACAAATACCTCAAAAACTGCATAGTAATATA